GGAGTATAAAGAAAGTAGAATTACTTTTATGAATAAAGAAATAAGTAAAATAATTTTTATTAATTAAATAAAAAAATGTAAAAAAGTGACAAAAATAATGACTTGCCACTGCAGGGCATGCCACTCCATTGAGTTAACACACGCTGACTAGACTAATTTTGATTGGTTGGAATGTTCCACGTGAGCATGTGGCGATCCATTTTTGCATCGCCACTGCCTGTGATCTTAGCAATATCTTTAAGAGTGTTTGTAGGTAGTCTATTATTTGAAGGTTAAAGCAAACTTAGGATTCTTAAGAAAATTTTTGAATGTATTATTACAACCAACTATTACAACACTCGGCCCATTTCAGAAACTTATGATGCTCTGTCTGATCTTGAAATAGTTCCAACAACCTATAAACCTCCATCCACAGCCTGTCCCTACCCCCAACCCAGCCCCTAGCCTACATGGAGGTGGGGGTAGGGATATGTTGGGGGTGGGGTTAATAGGGGGTAATAACAACTTCGGAATTGAACAGAGCATCGTAGGGGCCTCAATTCCCTCAAATGAGTTGGTATTATAATATGTCATGAGCAGTGAGTGTCAAAAGAATCTTTCAATTCCCAAAAAGCCAGGAAATGAAAAAATGCCAAGGGAATTCATTTTTGTGTGTAGGTTTTTTTCACTGAAAATGCAATGCAAATTAAACTATGATCAACGTTTATAATCTGCTACATATGATTAACTCAAAATTTACTCTTTATCCAACAGAAATTAATAAATAAGATGAGTTTCATTAAATGTACAGAATATGACAGTTGAGCTTGAACAGAGCTTAATGTTCCTAACTTTTTTTTCCTCATAGTTTCCTTTATGTTCTTTTTCCAAACTCCAAATAGTTTAGAGGATAAAGTTCATGGGTCTCGTTCATTTTGAGTTATCTTTGTGAACATTCTCAGGTTCTGCTCAGAGGCCCTAAAAATTCCCGTGAAGCCGTTAAACACTTTGGCCCAGCCCCAGGTGTTCCCCACAGTCACACCAAGCCTTATGTCCGGTCCAAGGGCAGGAAATTTGAGAAGGCGAGAGGCAGAAGAAATAGCAGAGGATATAAGGCTTAACAAGTGTACTTTCACTTTTTATATTGAGAGTTTATTTGTCTGTCATGTGGTGTTCGAATTTTTCTAAATATTACGTATCGTGCTGTTGGGAATTGTCTTTTCAGTCTAGTGTTTGTTTTCTCTTTGCTCTATCACCATTCATTCAAATGCCCACTCCTTTATTTAATTGCTCCTCGTTAAAGTACTTCAAATTTAAGGGATAAAAAGTGCTTGCATTACATTAACTTGTACCCACAGACATCTCCCCACCACACATTTCTTGTGTTGGATAAAAAAAATGGGCAATGTTAGGGGTACACGAACATGTGGTATCTCATTTGTACACTAGGCTAACATAGACACATACAAACACAAAAGGTTTGTGTAGTACATATCTTTTGTGTTTGTCTGTGTTTGTGTTAGCTTGGTGTACAAATAGGATACCCCATGTTGGTGTACCTCTAGGTTAATTCTAAAAAAAATTGAGAATGAATAAGAAATGTATGGTGTAGGAATATCCCGGTGTACAAGTTTTTATACAACTTTGTGTATCTCGAGCATTTCTCAGGATAAAAAAATGCATTGGTTGCATGCATTTACTCCCTCCATCCCATTTTGACTTTGAAGCATATTTAAGGAAAATAAAAAATAGAGTTGACTTTTCAAAGTTATCATTACTTTTTAGGAGGGGTGACGATGAATGAGAAGATAAGGTGGAAAAAAGTGACTTATTTTAGGAGTAGTTTAGGTATTTTATTCTTAAAAATTTACGTTAATAAGAAACAGATAATTTATTTTAGGACGGAGAAAAAAGGAAAATATGTAATTTAAAATGGGACGGAGGGAGTATTTTTTATTCTTGTAATTTACTTAAATGAGGTCATGTGGATCTTAGGCGGATTATTGAATTAATCTACTCCGTAATTTTTACTCCGTAGTAATAGAAAGAAGGAAATAATTATTTGTTACATTAGTGAAGTACTAAAATGTTTTTAGCCCTTGCGAGGCTGACAGAAATGTAAAGAAGACAAAAATAAATATATTCAATCCTTAAAATATCTCAAAAGAAGTCCAAAACACCACTCAATGAACTTTTGGATTCTTGACTTCCGGGTGCTGGGACAGTTGTTTCGGCTCTTGGAGTGAGGGCCGATTGCGTCAGAGTGGGTGGCGCAGCAGCGGCAGGTTTAGCTGCTTCTTCTTCAACTGGTGTAGCTACGTTTTCAACCGGAGTTGCGGCGGTGGGGACTTCAGCTGCCGCCGCCTCTGCTGGTGGCTCGGACGAAACCGAAGGTAACGACACAGGAGCCGAAACTGGAGCTACTGAGGCTTGGGTTGACTCCGGCGCCTCTTCTTGAACTGCTGATGGCCCCATGCTGGGTTTCAATGCAATGGGAGCTTCTGCCATTTCCGGAGATGACATCGAACCGGTTGGGAATGATTGAACCGGTTGGCGAACCGGAGCCAACGATGACAGGTCACTGGGTGATAGAACCGGAGTTACAGCTGATTCTGTCGGTGCAAGACCATCATCTTCAGGGGGTGCTGGACTGGATGCTGACGTGAATGGCGGTTCAACCTGAACCGGTGGGGCCGGTTGAGGAGCAGAAACCGGTTTGGGAGGATCATACGCAGCCTTTTCTTGGGCAACCAAATCCTTGGTCTCGTCGAGCACAACAGGAGAGTAAGTAACGGTGGCACTGGGCTTGGGCGGGGGGAGGATGAAACCCGGGTTATATGGGAGCCCGGTCGACTTAATCCAGGTATCACCATGTATGAACCTGGCCGCCGTAAACCGCTCAATCCGGTTCAGTGGAAGCTCCTTAACACCCTTCCATTTCACCCGGTTGTCCTTACCAGAAGCCGGGCCTCTATTGTTATACTCCGTATAGAAGAGCGTTTCCAGCGCGAAGTCCCCGTTCCAAGGCAACCACCCGTCCTGCTGGATGAGGTCGTCAATGTAGGACTCCATGATTACGGTCCTCGAGTACTCCTTCCATGGCCGGCCCAAGTACGACTTGAGCGTGAACCGGACCGGGTGGTACTCGGGGTCGGCCACGAAGCTGCAGTTCTGAATCACAAGCCCGGTGGGCTGGCGCGGGTCGATGCGGCCCTGGGCGGTCACGATGCACTGCTGGTTCTCAAGGGGCTTCCGGACGACGAGCGTGCAGTTTTGGAGGACCACGGCGCCGTTGCCGAACACGAAGTCGATTGTCCCGGAGATGACACAGTTTCTGTAGAACTGGCGGTAGGTGTGGGCATAGAGAGTGTCTTGGTAGCCATCTATTTGGCAATTGTAAAAGAGAGACCTATCGGCGCCCACTCTCAATGCCACCGCCTGGTGTTTCTCCGGCCCCGCCGCGTTCTCAAATCCTATATCCCTTGCCATGAAATAATCTCCAAGAGCAGCTATATATGTATAGTACAAAGAGGATACAATATAATGATTGGGAAAGTTACTACTTGCATGTATTCAAAAAAAAAATATTACTCCCTCCGTCCCACAAAACCTTTCTCCTTTCTTTTTTTATCTGTCCCACAAAACACTTCTCATTTCTATTAAAAAGTCACTTTTACCCCTTACTTTTTCATACCCTAACTATCATATCATACCTTTTTACTAATAATCTATCCATCAAATCACACTTTTACCTATCACATCAAAGAACATTTTTGGAAATTCAGTACCAAAATACACTCCCATTAAATCTCTCCTAAAAAGCAAAACTCCCATGTTTCACGGGACGGAGGGAGTATAAAATTACTAGTTGCAGCTTACCCACGGTTGCAGTATGAAAAGTGGAAACCCCATCAATGAAATTCTTCTTTCCAGTGATTTTAGTCTTGGTTGGGCCATCACCCATGACCATCAAATATGTCATATTGCGAAAGAACCTAACTTCCTCCTCGTATACACCTTCTTTGATGTACAACACAAAGGTCTTGTTACTATTCCTTGGGATATCCTTCAATGCCTCATTTATGGTCTTGTACTTCCCCGATCCGTCCTTGGCCACAACCAGATCTGGCTTGATGTCCGACCTCTTACCCGTGAGCAACCTTCCCCTTCCATGTTCGATCCAATTGGGGTGCAACAATTCGTACCCGTCGATGTGCTTATGATCATCCACAAGGAGGCGACGTCTGTTCGCGCCATCGTTGATGCCTTGGACCCCCAAATTTGAGAGAACCGAAGAGATTTCGGTAGCCATAGCTAAAGCATTGCTCGTTAATTGCATGGAAGTTGTGAGGAGATTCTTCATTTTTGTCTGGGTCAGTTTGGAAACAACATTTGTGATAAATAACATTACGAATGCACATTATTGTTACTCCGTAAAAGAGAAGCTTATGCAAAATATGCAAAAGGGATATTCTTTTTTGAAGAGTAATATGTCTATTAGAATGTAGTACATGTTCATACATTTTCAACCTATTAAAGAACCTTCATAGGCGGCTTACAGCCCCTGTTGCGGTTCGAATATGTAACCTTCCATCAGGAAGAGTCACTGTGATGCCACTGGACCACAAGGTCTTTGGCTGCATTCAAAAAGGATATATATACCTGATAATCTCCGGAAATTCCTTCAAACCCATCAAGGCAGGTTTCTTGATACGTGAGGGAACCGCTAAGCCATGTCTGCAAATCCGACAACCAATTGTTCAAGTCACTTAGATCAAACTCGCTAAACTTTTTGAATGTCCTATCCAGATCATCTATGGCCCTCTCCGCAAGGACTTGACAGTTCTCGAATGCCTCTTTCGATCTCGGGTCCTTGTGGACCTCCTTGAACAACGTCGAGTTATTCATCGCCCCGCGTATTTCTTTGATCGTCATCTCCATGGCAGCTTGGATAAGCTCCTTTGGATCTGTGGCATTCGCGGCCGAAGATGACTTGAGGCTCTTGATGCATGTCTCTTTGTAGGAAGTGGGTTTGCATATCGATTCGATGGCTTTTTCCGACGAACTTATTTCCTTGCGAACCGTTGTGTCTCGGCCGCCGGTGCCTATTGTTAACCCAATAACCATAGCCACAAGAAGTAGGGAGCACACGCCTAGGACGAGCATATTTTTCTTCTTCTCCTCGTCAGCCATTTTTTCTTTCTTTTGATTAATATTTTTTTTACTAATTATTCCTATTCAATATATGTGAAGGTGGAGAAGGGCTCAAGGAGGTGCTTGACCCTCTCCTCCAAATGCTAGCTAAGAGAATAATAATATAATGGACGTGAAGAAATTTTATGACATTTTTGGAGGACGTTATGAGATTCTGTTTATTACAAACCTTGGCCAGGGAATGACATATTGGTAGAAATGAAAGAAGTTATTAGAGGAAAGGATTGCGTCATTGGGAGAATGTTTGGTTGATATTAGTTATAGGTAGAAAGCCAATATCTTAGAAACAATATGTGACCCTAATTGTTTCAAGCTGCGCCTTTCGATTTTATTTGAAACCCGGACAAACCCGTTTGACTAAAATTAATAGTCTTTTTTTGGAAGGTTCAAAAATAGATAGTCATCTTTTCACCTTTGAAAAGGTTTTTATAATTCATGTTTTTTCTACATAATTTTAAATTATACTCCCTCCGTCCTAAAAAGTTTGTTACGTTAAGAAAAAATTGCGTCCCGTAAAGTCTGTTACATTTCTATTAAAAAACCACTTTTACCCCTTACTTTTTCATACCCTACCTATCACATCATACCTTTTTTCTAATAATCTACTCATCACATTCTACTTTTACCCATCACATCAAAGGTATTTTTGGAAAGTCAATACCAAAATATCTCTCCCTTAATTTCCCAAAAAGTCAAACCGTCTCATTCTTTTTGGGACGGAGGGAGTATAATTTCTATTTACGTATCAAACCGGCCAAATGTGGACTACTCCCTCCGTTCCTTTAAACTCTTCCCATTTTGATTTTGGACCAAAATAATGAAAGTGTAATTTTAGTTGTCTTTTTAATTTTGCCCGTAAAAGTAAGATGTGATAGTTTGGTTATTAGTGAAAAAGTATGATTTGATAGATAGGGTATGAAAAAGTAGAGGTAAAAGTGGTTTTTTAATAGGAAGTGGAAGTGTTTTAAGGAATTGGAAAAAAACGAAAGGAGAAGGGTTTTATGGAACGGAGGGAGTATTAAGACCATGGACAGCCGCAAATTATATCGTACAACCAGATGTACTGTAAAAACGGTACAGCCGGCAATTAAATGGGAGGAGAGGTGCGTCAATGAAGGGGAAGCCGAAGAAGGTCTGGAAATTGAGGGAGTTCGGATGTGGAGCTTGCGAAGATTGAAGCAGCGACGGGCTCCTATTTCAACAAATTGCTGGCTGAATTCAAGGAATTGAAGGCAGTTCTCGCACCTGAGGAAATTAGAGGTCCGACGAGGACGAAATTACAGGTTTGGCGAGAGGTGACAGTTAGTATAAGAAGATGAGACAAATTCATGAACACGATTTCAAATGTGAAAACTGCTACTGATCTGATGATCACTAAGGTTCGAGCATGGAGATTGTGTTCTATTTCTCAGATTCACTCCTCTCAAATCTAATTAATTAAAACCACTTTTTCTGACTTTAGTTGAGAATGCATGTTTCTTTATTTGAAAATGAGTACTTTTAAAAAAATGTGTATTACGTTATTTATTATAATTATATTAAACAAATATGTGAAAATGAGTACTGCGTTATTTTAGAATGAGTACTATGTTATTTCATAATGAGTACTATGTTATTTCAAATGAATACTTATTTTTGTGTGAGAATGATTACCACTTTACCTTAAAATGAGTACTACCTGGATGTACCTATCTCTAGATACATCTGATGTACCACATACACTCTCATGGACAGCGGCGTGTCATTTAGCCACCACGCCCTGCCACATCACCACTTGCCATACATTCCTTCTTCGTTTCACCTCATGTTGTGAGGCATCTCTCGCTCCACAAGTTCTTCTTTTCTTCTTCTTTTTTTATTTTGAGGAGAAAAAGCTTTTTTTTAAGAAAGTAAAAGTATTTTTTGATAAAAAATAGCAAAAAACAATTTAATAATTAGAATACATATAATACCTCCGTCATTAATATTTATTCAGTTTTGACTTTTTGGAGTTAATCATTTTCAACCTTTGACTTATAATTAAATAAAATTCACAAAGTGTTTATTATTAGATAAAATAATATTTAAAAACTATTATATAAAAAAACTAATAATACTATTTTGTATCAATATCTAATATAAATTTTATTTAATTAGTGATTAAAATTCATCAATAATTTTGACTAATAAAGTTAAAACTGAACAAATATGTTCCAGAACAGAGGAAGTAAAAAGAAACAAAATCAATGTCTTCCCAGTGGAGAGTCTGTCATTCCACTCATGTGCCACACGCTGACTGGATTTTTTATTGGTTAGAATTTGGGGCGTGTTTGGTTTTAGCGGTTCGGTTTTCACCTAAACAAAAGACAAAACAGAAGGTAAGTTGGCGGTTCGGTTTCACATAAAAAATATATAAACCATTGTTTTTCGGTTCGGTTTATGCGATTTTGATTGCGATTTTTTTTTGTTTTTTTGGTTTTTAAAAACAAAATTTATAAGCATTAAAAAGTTGTAAAAACACTAACTTGATGAAGCAATAACAATATGTAGGGTAGGGTTCGGTTTTTTCGGTTTGATTTTTAAACAAAACCAAAAACCGAACGAAAGGTTAGTGTTCGGTTCAGTTCAATTTTACATAAAAAAATATGTGTCGAGTTCCCAACAAAAATCTAAGAGCTTCCAAATGCTCCCAAAGCCTTCGCATGTAAATATCAATTACTAAGAATTTGCGGTTTTGTATAATACTTTCATTTCTATTATAACATCAAAGTTTTTTCATGTAAATATATATATTACTCGTATCAATTATTAATTCTAATATAATTTCGTATTAAAATTAGTTATTTATGTTTATATTCCTAGGTTTTTTAAATTTTATAATATGGTCTAAAATGTTTAATAGTTAAGAAAAATAAATTTAATCGACTAATCAATTATTTTCATTTATATTTCTATGATTTCTTTGCATATCATATATACTCATATAAATAAAGCGAAGTACCTAAGAAAGTTTGATTTATTTGGTTCGGTTCAATTTTCTAAAGTGAAACCAAAACGGAGACCAAACAATAACGGTTTGATTTGTTTTTTTACATCCGGTTTTGGTTTTTTCGGTTCGGTTTTTTTCCTAGCTCGTTTTGATCAGTTTCGATTTGATTTTCGGTTTTTGATTTCCCAACCCAGCCCTAGTTGAAATATGTCACGTCCGCATGTGACATTCAAGTTTTTGCCTCACCATTGCTTGTGTTCTAAATTAAGACAAAAGGAGTATCATTTTAAAGGTGCATGAGAACATGGACTCTCTATATCTAAAATTATTGGTTAAGTTTAAGTTTTTATGACTAAATTAGACAAAAGTTGATAATAAACTAAATACAAATTTTAATGCATAATGATACAATGAAATAAAATCTTAAAATTTCTAAAATTTTTTTGCATTCATATACAATGTACTCCGTATTATTTATTTAACTGTTGATTAAAATTGATCTAGTTTGGCCGCAAAAAGTGAAACTATGTGAATACTTGAAAAACACATGTTTACTTTTCCATTTTTACTGCCAGTGTCACACTCAACACACATTCATACTTTCACCGCTGCCACATTATCATATATCACTAGTAGTTGCAGGCGTTGATAGGTGGTCAACTGATGGTTGACTAGTCACTCTGTCATATTATACTTTCATCACTCTTCTATCACACTTCTATTACACTCTTAATTTGAAAAGTAAGCTAGGTTACTCTTATTTTGATATATTTGCTAAATTTTACTCGTTAATGAGGAAACTAGTTTTTACCCCGTGCTTCACACGGGCTTGTATATTTTCATGTAATATATATCTAAAAATTTTTAAAAAGTTGAAAAAAAAAATTCAATGAGTAACTATTTTCTCTTTTACTACTCCTTGTTTATCTTATTTTAAATGTCATCCCCCTTTTTATCTAATAAAAGAAAGATAGTAATGATTAGATTAAACATGTAGGTAAAGATAGTTAGCTTTAAGAAATTTAAAATAGATGATACAAACACACCAACATTCTCGCAGAGCTAAATAAGCACATAATCTGATCGGAGAGCCTACAATTTTAATATGGATATGTTAAGAATTTTAGGCAAATTTTTAGAGAGTATATGACCTTTTTAAAAGAGAAAAGTGTTTATACTCAATCAAATTTTGTCAAATGCAGGTTATGCATCTATTGTTCCTCAATGGGAGTATGTGAAAATGTGGAATACGAAGTGATTTTTTATTGAAATATCTATATAAAAAGAACACTACAACAAACTTTATGCATAGTATTATATACCTTCAATATTTGCTATTTTATAAATAATTTGAAGGAAAAAATATCAAATATGTGCTCCAATTTGTAAGCTAAAAAATAGAAAACTTTTCTATTTTAGCTCCCCCGCCATCTATAACTGAAACGTCATGCACATCTCTTATTTCTCCCATTTTCTGAGTTTCTCCATCTTCAACCTCATCTATGGATACACCAAAGAAATCTTTTGTCTTCACCAAAACTGCTCCTTCTATCATCCTATATTCCTTTGATCTCGAGCTAAGGTGTATGTATACTTGCTCCTTCAATCTCAAGTAGCACCTCAGTGACATGAATTGTGCAATATAAGACAAGCAACCTCTCATTAACATTTCTATTACGAAATTATGCAATTAAATTATACGGAGTATGTATCATGACTAGCCAAAGTTGACCTCAATGTCAATAATATCTCTTAATAAAATACTCTCTCCGTTTCTTAAAACCCTTCCTCTTTCAGTTTTTTTGTTTTTCTTAAAACACTTCCCCTTTCTATTAAAAAACCACTTTTACCCCTACTTTTTCATACCCTACCTATCACATCATACTTTTTCACTAACAACTAAACTATCACATCTTACTTTTACCCATCACATCAAGGGCAAAATTGGAAAGTCAACTACAATTTAACACTTCCTTATTTTCCCCCAAAGTCAAAAGAGGAACTCTTTTGAGAAACGAAGGTAATACAACATTATACGCCTGTGCCTCAAAAACTCCTCACCCATCGCAGGGTAAGAGGGGTCAGATGTAGCCTGACCCCNTGACTAGCCAAAGTTGACCTCAATGTCAATAATATCTCTTAATAAAATACTCTCTCCGTTTCTTAAAACCCTTCCTCTTTCAGTTTTTTTGTTTTTCTTAAAACACTTCCCCTTTCTATTAAAAAACCACTTTTACCCCTACTTTTTCATACCCTA